AAATTTCATTGAAATTGGTTCAGGGGTTTTGGAGAAGAAGATTTTTGAAATTTTAGTCAATTTGACCCTTTTTGGCCCCGCCCCTCAGGCCCCTGGGGGCTTAGGACTAAACCGGCAACTATTTTTGTTGACCTTTGTCCATGGAAGATCCCTGCAAAATTTCATTGAAATTGGTTCAGGGGTTTTGGAGAAGAAGTCGAAAATGTAAATTGTTTACATACGCACGACGGACGACGACGGACAAAAGGCGATCGCAATAGGTCACTTGAGACTTTGTCTCAGGTGACCTAAAAACTAATCATCTGTAGATAAAAAACGGTGCATGGCTATCTATTCTATTGTTCTGACTGATTTGTTGACAAATTTATTGATTTATAAGTATTTTAGCAAAAAGTTATCCGATTTGGGTACTTATCCGATTTGGGTACTGCCTCCTTATATATTTCTCCAACAACCATTATAGGTTTCCTCACTACTGATTCACTGGATAAACCTGCTAGGAGTTGATAAACACTTTTGGTTACCCACTAGTGGGTAACACCCTGGACATTATTTCATCTGTCAATCTTCTAATGATAACGCAAGTAACAACGCTTTGTATTGTCATCTTCAATTGTAACGTCCTAGTTCCATGACAACTGTTTCCCCGATCAGAAACCGGAATAATGTGTTCCCAAGAGAAACATGGTTTTCTAAATATAATATCAGAACGTCGCGGGAGAAAAAGATCCTGAAACGTGTGATGGTAGGTTATCATGTTTATCTAGCTCTCGTTGGTTAATTTTCAAATTGTTAAAGACACTCGGTAAACCTCGTGTCTTTATACAATTTGAAAGTTAACTAACTCGAGTTAGATAAACACGACAACCAACCATCACTCGTTGGGGAACCTCCATATACATTGTAACTGTATATGACAAACAGGGGAATACATTTGTTATTTGTTTCCTAGGGTAAGTGGATTGATCAGTTGAGACTTACCTAGCTCTTGTTTCTACAACACCTATAGTCTGTGGATGACATTTCCGGTCTATGTAAAACTTTCGACGTTTGTTATGTCTGCATGAATGAAACAGAAACAAATGTCACATGCACATCTACATACCAATACGTGTCAACACATCTGGTTCATCAAGAATCTTAACACACATTGGTTATCGTATGTTTAGTAAATAGAATCACTGCATCTTGAATATTACCGGTAATGCAAGTTGGTATATATGGTCTGTAAGTTAATATAATATGATTAGATCTTAGTATCATTGTGAAATGTTCTTAAAACCATGAAAATCTAAAACAAAAATCGGTGTAATCAATCACAGTACACAGAAAACTGTTTTTGGAAAACATATTGACACCAGTGTTCCAAAAAAACTGGAATTTGCTTATGTTACTGTCAAGAAGTATTGACAACTTATGCTTGATTGCTGATTAATAATTCAATATTCCAGAAAACATTATTTTCAATTTGCATTCTATTATCTCAGCTGAATATCATACAAAAATACCTGTAGCAGAGCCCCATGGCTTCAGCTGCTGCGGTGGCCTCGTCCAGGAGAGAGGCATTTGCCACAGGTAGACGGGTCATGTCACAGACCATTGTTTGGTAGTTCAGGAGGCACTCTAGTCGGCCTTGGGCCAGCTCAGCCTGGTACGGCGTGTACTGAGTTGTCCTGTGTACATACATCATAGATGTAAAAGTAGGAACCACTGACTTTAAGTCAAATCCTTAACAAAATACAGTAAAATTGATTCACAATTTCTCATACTGCAGATGTCTGCGTTATCTAAAGGGAGACCAGTCTTTTAGAATTCTTTTACCACACTATATTTTTACAAAATGTGTTTGATTGACTTAACAATGAAATGAAATTTGGAAATTCAGTTCAATTTGGATGGGTGTTTAATTAGAAAACTAATGAACGGTATTAACTGCTACCACAACATAATATCAGTGTTTTTTTCTATCTAAATTTTACTGAAGCCTGTTTATACATGAATTGGGAAAATATCAAAATATTTTCATAGAAAAAGGGAAGATAGTCCTCATTTTTCTTCATTTTGGGAGAATAAAGCATCCATTTTTTTCTACAGGAAATAGGCTTTAAATTAAACGGCTGTAAAACAAGGCAAAAATATATCACAGAATGCATGCATGAACCCCCATCCTTTCATGCCTGAAGTGTACATACCATCCTGGGTTCTCAAACATGTTCCTGAGGATGGTGTGTGGTGTATAGGTATTGTAGTAACCAATCCCGATGTAACTTCTCCACACGTCATTCTTACCAGCAATGTGATACAGTCTCTCAATCAGCTCCAGCTCACCTATAGTAAAATAACAACAGCCCCTCTAACATCAAAATGTGATACAGTCTCTCAATCAGCTCCAGTTCACCTATAGTAAATAAACAACAGCCCCTCTAACATCAAAAGGTGATACAGTCTCTCAATCAGCTACAGCTCACCTACAGTAAATAACCAACAGCCCCTCTAACATCAAAATGTGATACAGTCTCTCAATCAGCTCCAGTTCACCTATAGTAAATAAACAACAGCCCCTCTAACATCAAAAGGTGATACAGTCTCTCAATCAGCTACAGCTCACCTACAGTAAATAACCAACAGCCCCTCTAACATCAAAATGTGATACAGTCTCTCAATCAGCTCCAGTTAACCTACAGTAAATAAACAACAGCCCCTCTAACATCAAAATGTGATACAGTCTCTCAGTCAGCTCCAGCTCACCTATAGTAAATAAACAACAGCCCCTCTAACATCAAAAGGTGATACAGTCTCTCAATCAGCTACAGCTCACCTACAGTAAATAACCAACAGCCCCTCTAACATCAAAATGTGATACAGTCTCTCAATCAGCTCCAGCTCACCTATAGTAAATAAACAGCAGCCCCTCTAACATCAAAATGTGATACAGTCTCTCAATCAGCTCCAGCTCACCTATAGTAAATCAACAACAGCCCCTCTAACATCAAAATGTGATACAGTCTCTCAATCAGCTCCATCTCACCTATAGGAAATAAACAACAGCCCCTCTAACATCAAAATGTGATACAGTCTCTCAATCAGCTACAGCTCACCTACAGTAAATAAACAACAGCCCCTCTAACATCAAAATGACATGTACAATCTTCATGTGAAAATTACATACTTTTTCAAATAGTGTATGAAAGATATGGAAAACTCCCCACCGGATGTTTAAGAAGAGAATTTCTGATGATTTGCTAAACATGTTTTTCTCCCAATTCATCAACTTAAAGACAGAGTTCTTTATTTCATATGTATGACAGTAATTTTCTTCCTTATATCTGCTCTTAGATACATGTGTAACAAATTAATTATGCATATTGATAAGAGAAAGGGGAATCAATGTGGTTCTGTGCAGAAAAACCAAATGAAAGTTTTAAGACAATGACTTTGATCTGCATAGTCTGAATATTTTTATCGACATAACATATACACGCTCTGATAAAAAGGACAATAGCCTAAAGTATTGTTTACATTTACTTTGTAAATTTTAGAATTGTTGACCTTTATATCAAATAATGTTGTTCTAGATGATCAATCTAAAAATACACTGCAAACATAACTCATTTTAGTGACAATGTACAATCATCATAGCCAATCTAATCAAATTAGGTAAATGTAATAATAGTGAACAGAATAACAAGTCTAATTTTAATCAGATTGCAATCATATTATTCATATACATGGCAGCAAACCAAATAAGTACATTATGTTGGGCAAATACCTTCTTATTGACTCCAATGCTAAAATTACAGCAACAAACACAATTTCTCTTCAGTGAAAAATACAATTGATGAGCCTGATTTTATTTTGTAGTTTGCACATTAAAATAGAAGATAATGACTGAGAAAGACAAGCAAAAAATATTCAGGAAGATGATGCATATCGTGAATTGGGATGTTTTTGCGCAGGTTAATTTTGTGAATTCCTCGTAAACAGCTGTAGCTTTATTTTTAATGGTCTTTTTTTTTGTGAAGAGGAACTACACACAAAAATTTGGATACCGCAAAAATATCCAAATGATTTTTTTTAAGCCTATTGTACTTCCAAGATTGTGGTGAAGTGTAGACAATAATTTTTTGTGTACACAAGTATCCACGTTTTCACCCAAAATTAAAGGTTTTCCATATTTGAGTCGTCGTAACACACTGACATCCGTGTCAAAGTTATGTTTTCTCTTTCTTCCTTATTCCGTAGTGTACTTGCAATTGTTTTTCATATTCTGCACACTTGATTCTTTGATGTCAACGTGGTATTGGTTTAAATGTCTGAGGTGTGCCTTGCTGGGCAACGTATTTCCTAGTTTAGATCACATCAATGTGGTATTTGTTTAAATGTCTGAGGTGTGCCTTGCTGGGCAACGTATTTCCTAGTTTAGATCACATCTGATAAAATGGTATACTGTCCTCCCTTTTTTTCGATAAAATATGTTCTTTTATTTACTGATCATTCATGCAGTCACAAATATGGTTGTTAGCTATAATATTGTGGTTAAAACAGCAATTGTCCGCACATTTAAATTGGTAAAATTGATGTATTGATGCACAGTCTAAATTTATAAAATAACATTTTTGATAGAGACACATCATTAAAAAAACAATATCTCATATATAAAATCTAGATATAACATTATCAAGAAACTGCACCATGCATGCACCATATTATCAAGACCTTTGAGATATATTCTTTGATTAACAGGTGATCGAAATCAACAAATGTGGTTCACATTGAAAAATTATATGGTACTGTGACTTGTGTAGATATTTAACACTGCTGACATTGCAACAACACTGATTATTTATTAGCAAATGTGCAGCTCAAACACAGATTGATTTTACAGGTTAGGAATATAATGTACACAAGTTTTGCTTGCTCTAATTGACACAAACTGTTTAGGCAGAATACACTGTCAGTCTATACAAATAAAATTTAATCACTTTAATTATCACTCAGACACTACACACTTGACTAGTTTTACATATTGTCAAGTTAATGCAGTATAACTTTTTAATTATGGGGACTTGCTAAATTGACAAATTCTATAATAAAACAGTCTACCCCAGGTAAGAATAGTTATGAATATTACAGAAAACAAGAGGCCCATGGGCCTTAACGGTCACCTGATATATTTATACAGAGAGTTGATTTTGTTTTTAACATGAACAGAAATATTATTCAAAGTGACAAAAAACAATAAAACCACCTTACTCAATATCTAGCATACAGATTTCAGACTAAAAAGGATTTGAAACTAGCACCTACAGCCCTTGGGGGTAGGGCTGGCTCAAAATTTTCAAAGTATCAAACTGTCAATTCAAGGTTATAATTCCAATCAAGTTATTAACATGTAATATTCAAAGTATCA